AAAGGATGAAAAAAGTGTAAAAAAATTAATTTAAAGACTAAATATATTCAAAATTAAAAATTAAAAAACTAAAAATGACATTTAATCTAATAACTACCACTCTTAACTGTTATTAATAGGTTTTTTCTGATTAACTATTGTTAAGAGTTAAATCCAGCAGAAAGTTAATGTTTTTAAAAACTAAAATATAAGTTAAAAATATAATTATTTTACTTTTTTTTTTAAATTTTATTGGTATTAAAAATATAAAAGAAGATATCAATTTTAGTTGTAAATTATTTTAAATAAATAAATAATATTAATTTTTATCTTTTAAATATTAATTAACATAAAAAATACAATAATTACATTATTAATTTATACTATACCCTTAAAATTTTAAAGATAATATTAAAGAATTTGTGCGTTTTCGTCGTGCTTGAACAATGTCCATGTCCGTGTTGTGTGGTTGTCTACAATTCGGTGCCGTCGAGAGTGCAAGTCACTGCCATGTGGAAGCGTTTGTGACTCTCTCACGTTTCGTGTCCATTAAGTGCTTGGCGTCAAAGATCCTCAACCATCCAGTTAAAGAGACGTACAAAGCCACTCACGCCCCTCAGTGCACGCGCACTTATTTCCACGCGCCGGCCCACACTGTTTCCTTGCTAGCCGAAATCATTTTTACTGTTTGTATTATATTAATAGATTTGTGTGTATCGATTTTTTTTAAAAATAAGAGTTTTAATTTATATTTTAAAATTAAAAATTTTAATTAAATTAAAATTTTTTTAATCAATTCATCTACTCGCTCATAAGTTACAATCGGCTTGCAAGGCAGCTGCAATTTGAAACAATTTTGAGTTCAAAACTGTCACTAATCTAATACAGTAGAACACGAACATTCAAGGCTGTGTTTGGTTTCTATAGATCTTGAAAGAACAATTTGGGAGGTCAATAGAAATTAAAACATTCTTTGATTCAGATTTAAGGGCATATAATCACTTATATAGGATGTAATCATATTATTTATAGAACTTTAAGATTTTTGCCCTGAAAGTTTACATTATGGTGGAAGCCGACTAACTTCGAAATGTTGATTTATTTAAATTTTTTCTTTAGATTGTTAATCACCCAACTAAATATAAGGTTAGATTATTGTTACTATCTAAATTGTTAATACTACTAATTTATCTATAATGTTATTAGTTTATAATTTTTTTTATAGTAATTAGTATGATATTTAAAAATATCTATTTATAAATTAATTTAAATATGTAAAATAATAAATATTAATTTTTTTTATCAATTATTAATTATTTTTAACAATTAAATATTTATCAATTATTAGTGATCATAACAAATTGAATAGTGGCCATAACCATTGTGCTAAACAAGCCCTAAAAATTCAAACTTAACTAGTTAATAGTCACACTTGCACAACAATAACATGTATACTTTTATTGACAAAAGTTTAGTTGAATTGGTATTCACTAATTTAAAAATCTTGATTTTGAGTCAAGATTAAAAATTTTAACAGCTATAGTATCAAGCAACTAACTTCTAATATAAATTTATTTTTAAAAAAAAAAAATTCATACTTCTATTTCAACGTGTGATTTGTGGCGCTCCATAGAATTTTGCAAGCTTCAAAGCAGCAATAAACCAAAGAGCTTTGGGCAAGGCATGG